ATAAAACTGAGAGAATTAGAGCAACATCAAAACACCTGCTATCAAAATAAATTGAACACGAGATATGTTATTTTTATATTAATTATGTCAAGTACTAATCTCTTTAAACAAATCCTTTTTGCAAGAACATTTTGATTAATAACAAAACAACTAACACAACTATATACTGGTTTTGATCATCATGATGATATACATTTACATTAGAGGAAAGCTTGAAGATCTGCATGTACACATATTTTTAAAAAAAAAACTTTGTTAAGCATGTTCAGAAATATCTACTAACAAGCAATGTGACATAAACACATGAAAAAGTAGAGTCCTTGTCTAAATAGTGGAACCAAGCGAACCCCAGGAGGACTATGCTAACTATAGCCCTGACCACAGTGACGAGGATAGTAGCAGGAATGGACACTCTATTACTGACTCCCTAAGGCACGCTCTAGAGCAGAGAAATAAAGTAAACCAAAGTCACCAAAGACAAGGTACTAACTGAACGGTAGAACAAAGCTGAGTGGTATTAGGAGGCATATGCCTAGTTCATTGCAAACTAATACAAAACATCTTAACAGGGCTTTAACACAAGACATACTGTTATCTGGAAGCATCAACGAGGTACTTAAGAGGCATAGTATACAAGATATTTCCTGAACTTTAGCAAAACACATTGTGATATCGAAAAGCAATGTTCAAAGTACTTTTAAGTTCTATACAGGGTGTAAAACTGTAGCAAAAAAGTAATGAAATCTAGAGGCATGATACAAGTGCAGGGGATACAAGTACAGGGTACTTGTATTATGGCATCACATACAAGGTAGTGACTGCAATATATCAGAAAACACAGTTTTATATTAGAGGCGTCAAATGAAGATCCCATGGTAAAGCAGATAATATACCATACAAAGATTAAGTGAACTCTGTTGCAAAATATAGAGACATATATTGATATATCATACAAAAAACTGCTTAAACAAAGTGTGATGTCATCCCAAAACATAACAAATAAGCTTCACATAAAACCAGGAAGGATGGTGGAACTATTTAAACGCATTACACAGAAGATAATTTTTGAAATTTTAGATAAAACATTATAAGTTTTAAAAAGTCATCACTCACTTGGACAATTTTAAGACCTGTATCACAAAGTACTACAACATAGGAGACAGTACATATTAAGTCCTAGCTGCATGACAAAATGACAGACTTAAACTATTGTAAAAGAATAAAAGATGTATAAAAAATACGCAAGAAAACAAGCTTGTGGACAAGCATTTTTAGTTGTACAAAATACTAAATAATCACATTGATATCCGCATTAACTACGGAATGTGCAATCTTTTCTCTTTCATGAAACAATTGAAAAAAAAGATCTTAAAAATGGAAAATATTACATAGCTTATGATTAAAAAATTACAAACTTAAAAAACACAAGTAAGAAATTTGAAAAAAAGAATCTTAAAACTGGAAAATGTAACAATATATAGCTTTTGATTACAACCTGATACCCATAGATCAAATGAATAAGATAAAGAATATGAGAAAGTTCAAGTATACGTGCATAAGCTTTTATTTTCGTTTGCAAATCACTTGTATTATCTTTAAATATTGCTTTTATATACCAGTATTTCATTCTATCCATATCAAAATAAAGCAACATCAAATTATTGATTCAAATATGAAATATTTACGACAGAAACCCAAATCTGTACACAGTCAACCAAAATATCTCAAAGGCAAACGTACACTGCTTCATTTCTAACAGCACTTCAGCTCAAAACATGCAATTCACCACAAAGTACTAACTACTGGGTAAACAGGATACCAACTGTCACCATTTTTAAAAGTTATAAGAACTGATAATGCACATAGCATCGAGAAGATACCGCAAGGAAGTTATTTTGATTCAACATTGAGAGCTGATATGCATTGTAGATTTTTATTTACTGTCCATCTACTAAGTGTTCATTTGTGCATCGCAAATAACGTGTATAGATACATAAAATGATGAAAGAGTCTGGCTATTGTTACTTTGATATAAGTAAGTCTTGGACTGAATAATATTCACATTAAAACAATGTTTTCAAACCCCTATGTTTTATTTACATGTACATGTAGTCAAGCCAACAGGTGGTGTCATAAGTTTTCACTATACTTACTGTTGGGTCTAATAATAAAAGGTTATTACGTTGATTATAATTATATTCCATTTTTCTTTCCAGAAAAACCCCCGGAGCCTGAAGAACCTCCACCAAGACCTGCTCGACCTGGAAGGGGAGGTAACAAATTTGAAAGTGTAGATCTGTAATTAAAAGAGATATATCTATTTGCCTTCTCCCTACAGACTGCCAAAAACTCCCCTTTGTAACCTAGGAAACTATTTTTTATTCATTTCAAAGATTTTTACTCAAAAATAATTAATTTAACCTGATATTTTTAAACATTTTCAATGATAAAAAATCCTCCTTCCACCCCATCCCCCAATATGTAAGCTTGAATCGGGAGA